CATCAACTACAGTCCTCAAGCTTGCTTGTCTCCCTTAATCCAGAGTGCTAACCCAATAATGTCAACCCTAGCCATTAAAAAAAAACAAAACATGAATTATGTCTCAAGAAATTAGGAGACTTTAAAATAATGGATTTTTGGTTCTTCCTGTTTGACTTCTGATTTTCCAAGTTTTTCTTTGAAACCTTGAGAATTAAGTTTTTTTGGAACTAATTTTTTCAATATTTTTAATGAAAGCTAAGATTTTTATGGAATCTTACAAAGTCAGGGACTGAGACAAAAGGAAAACAATACTATGAAGTAGACTCATGATAAAAATGAGCTTAGCAACACTCTCTTCTCTAAACCCCAAATTGACAATGAAGGCAAAAAGAGTATAAGCAATCCAAACTCCAAGCCCATAATTAACTAAAAGTACTTAATCAAAAAATATTTGTGGGTTTGTATTTTTTTATCTGGCATTGGTAGCTACACAGCAGCGCATCCCCTTCCAGCCTTGGGCTGGTATATGGAAATCAGGCAGGTGAATATGGCTAATGAGTCCTTGGTGTCTATGCCAAGTGTAATGCAAGAAGTAAACAAGCAGCATTAGTGGTAACTAATTTAGATATTTTTTTAGATGCCAGAGGATTTTTTATTTCTTTCTTGTTGTTAGGGACAAAAATTTGACTCCATGTTTAACTCTTTAAAATTCACTACTTCCACAAAACACTGAATCCAACAATAGGAATGAAAATTAATAAACCCTGCTATATTAACCAAGCTACAGCCTTTTCCCCACACACTTTCTTTGGGCCAGGAATTCCCTTTATGTTTGGTTCTGTATAGTGCCAAAATTATTTGTGACCTTTAACAAATAAGTAGAAGATTATTTCCCCCTCCCTTCCATATGGTTTTTACTTTTAAGAGAAACACTCTAGATTGAGCTTCTATGCCTAATACATGCACTACTCTTAGCTCTTCTAAGAGAGGCCGATCAGTACTCGCATTTCCACTTTCGGTATTGCACCTTTTCTGTCATCCCAGATGCATGTTCGTCAGTCACTGGAGACTAAAACCATATTTGCCCATTTTCCTCTTGCTATGCTGCTCCAGACCTTCACTTACTCCATTTCCAGTGTAATTCCTGGGAATCTCCTACTCCTAGGTGGAACAGATGATCTGTCAGGTTTTCTCCATTTCATTTATTATCATTACGCAATATCTAATTTTCATTTAATAAGTATTAATAATTGGTAATTGCATGTATGTGGTCAATACATTATTATATGATTATTTAATATTCATTATTATTTAAAATTTCTATTATAATAGCACTTGGTGTCCCAAAAAGGAAGAAGGTTGTTTGGTATCAGATACTCAACAAACATACAAAATACAAACCTTGCCCTAGACTCTAGGGCAGTGGTTTTCAACCTGTGATCTGTGGAATCCTGGGAGGTCTGCAAAAGATAACTATGACCAATCAAAAGTATATAAATACCCACACTTAAAATTCAGAGGGGTCTTCATCTCCATTCAAATTTTTTTGGGGATCCACAGGTGAAAAAAGGTTGAAAACCACTGCTCCTAGGTCCTAGAGAAATTGCAGTAAAAATAATACAGGAAGGATTTAGGTTTAATACATATTGGGCATGTTTACATGTGTATGAATGTGCTTTTACTGCTATGCATTTAATGTAGTACCTCCAATGTGAGGTACTAAATAAATACGCATTAGGCTGCACTAATACACAATAGCGCAAGCGCACACTTTTTAGGTGGCACGTCTGCACAGTAGCCTATTCTAATGCGCATTAGCGTATTAGCACTTTTTTTTTATGGGCCACTTTAATACACAGTAGAATAGGCTACTGCTCATTTAAGTACACATGGAGATTGAGTATTTATTTTCATCACAGGATCTCAGATTATTATAAGTAGATAAAACCACGTCCTTGAAGGTTTCTGCACTTACTGAATGCTGATTCACCTCCTCCTGCCCCCTGTTCAGCAAGCACAGTTTACAAGTAAACAGTAGCCTTTCTCAGTCTGTTTCCGACGTCCTTCTTACAACACCGCTTGTAATAAAGACCCTGTGGGCCAAATATATACACCCCACTTTATCAGTGAGATTTAAGGGGTGTAACTAGCAAGAACTTAGTTAACTGTTTCACTGGTATTGTAGAAAACAGAATGGAATCCACTTTGCTTTATTGTAGCTTTATAAACCATGCAAATCTACTGCAGAAAACAGTAACCAGGGACAAGATCTGCTGAGTAAGCAAGTTATACTTTTTATAGTTGTTCTTCTGAGCAGAGTAAATTTAAGTAAAAGACTGTTTTTAAGTATGTTTCAAGCAGGCAGCTTTGATGTGCTGCCAGCCACATCAGGATCCGTCCCCCCAAATTCACCTAGAAAATTTGAAGAAAGGTGAAAGTTAGGAAGCATATATCTCAGGGCAATGGGCCAGGAATGGTCATCTTTGTTCTCTGCATGCACAGCAACTAGATCAATCACGTGTTGGGCCAGTAATAAGGCAACACTAATAATACATGGTAGTTTGCAGCCAAAAAAAGTGTTCATATGCTTCCAGACTATGTTGATCCCTTTCAGTCCTTCCTTTCTGCTAACTCTTCCCATATTTTCCAGTTGTTTTTCTGTCAGAGAGCAGGCCATAAAGCTCTGACTTTAGGCATTTCAGCAGCATCAGTTTCATGATCAGAATGGCAAAGATCTTAAACTTTCATTGCTTTTTGTACCAGATTTTCTTCCCCGGGAATGCCAGGCAACTAGAAGCAGTAATTAAAAAAATAGGCCACTTGGCTTTCTATATATAGCAGCACTCTGATCCCAAGAAAGCCAGCACTCTCATCCAGTCTGTTTTTAGCTGTCAGTGTTTGTAAATTAATATTAATGATGCTAGTCTTAAGTAATATTTTTAAATATGTCTTCATTTTTCCCTTGCTGTTCCCAGGATGCTAGTTTCCTTTTTTTTTTCAGTCTCCAGGTGTTTGCTTTAAAAAGCATCAGGTTTTGGGGGGAGGCGAGGGGGTTGTTTGCTTGTTTTCTAATCAGCTCTGTGTACCTTAGTCTCTTCTGTTCTCCTTCATCAAGATGCTAAGTTGACCAAGGTTTTCTCCACTGAAGGGCATCACATTCTTAGAATGCACCTGACTTGCATCAAAGTCCGTCTGGTTTTGATGTCAGCCAGGAGGACTAATTTCAGCTTTGGGGTCCTGCGCACACCATTCCTTATAAATTATGCATGAAGCTCTCTGCGTATTGCAGAGATTTAAAAAGATGAAACCAATTAAATTTTCATTGGGGGGTGGGAGCAGAGATTAGAAGGGGAAAAAAAGACGGAAGCAATGACTGGTGAAAGAAGTCAGGTGTGAAAACCAGAAAGATTTTAATTGTATGGCAGGTGTTAAAACAGTTTATAAACTTTGTTTTTTCCCACTTTGTTTCTTCAGTTACCCATTTCATGAAATGATTCAGTTTACCCAACATTTCAATATATAGCTGGAAAACTGAAGAACATAAAATATTTGCTAAAGGATCACACGTCTATTTTTTATTTATTTCGGTATTTTCCTCTGTAAACTTGCATGGCCTTATTTCCAGAGGCACTCTTGTGTCTGGAAGCCAGGGATATTCAGAGGCTCTTCATATCAAACTACTACATGGTCAAGGAGCTTATGATGTTCCAGTATCATAAATGAAACATTTTTTTTTGGAGTCACTGTGCTCTCTGAAGCCACGGTCCTCCTTTCTTTGTGCCTAGGTGTTCATTTGTAATGTTTCTTTCTGGCTAGATTTTCATGTGGGCCACAAGATGGAAACGACTGGGAACTTTCTCATCTGTTTTTTCTGTTCCACGAATGCTTAGGTCACACCTACCACCATACAATCTGAGTGCTTCCAGTAGTACATTAACTAACATGAGTAGTGCCCTTACAGACAGGGTTGGGAATGGAAACTCCACAAAGGCCTGTGTTCTATTTTTAACTCTGCCACTGATTTGCTTTGCGGCCCTGTCCACCTTTCTCATCCTCTGTCTCTAGTTCTCCATCTAGAAATAGGAAGTAGTAATTCCAATCTTGCTCAAAAGAGCCACGAAATGGCACTTACCTGGTATTTAGGTTTGATTCTTTGCCCTGTGTGACCTTGGGCAAGCCAATCTTGTCTGTACCACAGGTCTCCATTGGTAATATGGGAATAACTGCACTTCTCTACAGGGTGTTGCACGGTATTTGATTTCTTACCTTAATAAATGAACTACCTCAGTTGCTCCAATATTGCTGTAATAAGTCCCCCTATACAATAGATATATTGAGACTCAGTAAACTCTGTAAATCTTATAACACATGTAACTGAAATGTATTGTAGATTTGTAAGTGTCATCTAATTGTTGCTCTTTGGTAAGCTTTAATGTCCTAGCCAAGAGGGCAGTGCAGTTGCAGTGCAAGGTAAGTGGAAAGGTTTCTTCTTCTTTGCTGACTACTAACTCTTTCTGTATAGATTTGATTTTCATAAAATTTCTCCCAGGTCTTTTGCTTGATCCTTTGATGTCCACAGTGAGTTTTGAACCTCCAACACTGAACATCAGCATCAAAGAGTTCTAAGCTTTGAGTTCTATTCTCAACTTAATGAATGTTACAATTTTGACACGTTAATCGTAATAATAATATTAACTAACGTGTCAGGAATGTACCTTGGAGTTGGCACCTAGACTCAGTTACTTTGGTAACTGTGGACTTTAACAAGCGAGAAAATTGGAGTATGTTAAATGCTGAGATCCATGCATCTTGTAACTTTGTATTGGACCAATACAGCAAAGTGCTCAGCATCATCCACTCCTATTGAAATCTCATTGAACTGAAGGTTCACAATTGGTCTGTTAGTCCTTATGCAGGAGAAATACCAGTAGAAAAGGAGTGTCATCTCTGGTTCATTGCATCAGATGATGTGTCTGGAGGGAGTTGTTTTATACTGTTTGCATATCTGTTTCTTATAGGCCACTGTCATAAGAAAAACCCAGATGACATTCATGACAAGCAGAAGTACTTTGGTGAACCCCAGGAGTCAGTAACAGCTAAAGAAGAAAATTCTGAGGGAGGTACAGAAGACACCACAGAATATCGCATTCAGAGTTCAACAAGGGACCCTTCATCTCTGAGACTGGAAAGTAAGTTAGCCTTAGCATTTCAGTGCATGCTTGAATAATGATTTGGTCTCTAGCCTTCAAGCCTGGCTTCTTTTTCACAAGCACCACGAGAATGAAACTCCTATGACAAGACAGGAGAAAGGCTCTTTATTTCCACTGATTTCTTATTTCATCTTTCTAGTTCTGCCCAGATATCTGACACATTAAAGGTACAGCAGTTTGGTTCTGAGATGGCTCAGCCATCCATGCTGATTGAATTTTTTGTATCCCTTCAGCAATCCATTTTTTTCTACTTCATCTGGGCAAAAACACAGACTGTGTGCATCACTTTCACTTACATGACCATGGCTAAATGGGATGCCCTAGTTGCTGGAATGGGTGCTCAGTCTACAATGAAAGGATAGAAAAAGACTGAAAAGTTTTTAAAATAAAATATGGAGGATCTTGAATATATTCTACTTCTTAGTGGCAGATTCACTAGGGAGATACTGTGTAAGGCTTTAATGGAATCCCTGGCATGATTATATAAGTTAGAGAACAGCATGCGTTAATTTTTAATGCCTTTCAAACAACAAACCTAAGGAGGTTCCAGCAAACCTTTTGCCTTTCCATAGTGAAACAATAGCAAGCAGGTAGGCTGCTGAAACGGATGTTTCACCCTGGGACACTTGAAAACTTCTTAGGAAGTTTGCAGTTTTACAGAGGAAGAGAGAACAGCTGCAAACAGATGTTTCCTTTGTGCCACCATAAAAATGTTTATAACGGCACAAAACAAAGACAAACAGATGTCCATGCCCTTAGGATCATAGGGAAGTATGGCTGGAAGGGACCTTATGAGGTCATCTAGTCCAGCCCAAGGCAGGATCATTCCTGACTAAGCCATCCCAGCCAAGTGTCTATCTAACCTGCTTTTGAAAACTTGCAAGGATGGAAATTCCACAGTTATATCATAATATCATAATACTTAGGGTCAGAAGGGACCTAAACAGATCATCAGGTCCGACCCCCTGCCCCAGGCAGGAACGGGTGCTGGGATCATATCACCCCAGCCAAAAATCTGTCCAGCCTCCCCTTGAAGACCACCAACGTAGGAGAGATCACCACCTCACTTGGGAGCCCATTCCAGAGCCTGGCAGCTCTAACTGTAAAGTAATGTCTCCTGATGTCCAGCCTGAACCTTCTCTCTAACAATTTGTGGCTCTTATTCCTAGTAACCCCAGGTGGTGCCCGGAGGAACAGAACCTCCCCCAATTCTCGCTGGTCCCCCTGGTGAGTTTGTAAATGGCCACCAGATCCCCTCTGAGCCTTCTCTTGTGGAGGCTGAGTAGGTTCAGGCCCTTTAGCTTCTCTTCGTAGGGCCTGCCCCACTGCCCCTTGACCATGCGAGTGGCCCTCCTCTGACCCCTCTCAATGCTAGCCACATCCCTCTTGAAGTGCGGCACCCAGAACTGGACGCAGTACTCCAACTGCGGCCGGACCAATGCCACATAGAAGGGGAGGATCGCCTCCCTGGACCTGCTTCTGATGTTTGATTTGAACCAGCAGAAGACCTGAGGCACAGAACACTACTTCCCTTTTTTAGCAGCCTGTGGGTTCTACTGTAAATAAAAATAATGTTGGTGATGTTATTAACACTCCATTTCAGACACAGTCATTGCAGAAAGCAATGGTTCAGAAGGGCTGGAAAATTTGGGAGACGCTCAGATGTCTGAAGAGATGTTGGCTTTGGTGGATGAGTTTGAAAATTCCTGGCCTCTGGAAGCCTTTGAAGGGGCACTAGAGGTGAAAGGTCGTCGGATGGACCTCCAGGGTATCCGAGTCCTAAAGAAAGGCTCCCAGGATGGACTGGCTAGTTCTTGTTTTGGGGATTGTGGGGATGATGATGAAGCTGAATGGGTAAGAACAAGCATTTGCAAGATCTAGTCTAGTAGCCTTTGTAAACTGTATCCTAATTTACTGTACAAAAAACTATTCTGATTTGAAGGGAGAGATAACAGTTCAGAGTTTTTGCCTTTGATAATAGAGCCTTTCATCTCCAGATCACCAATTACAAACAACCCAAACCTATGACTATCTGAGAGATTGTTTGGTGGCATATGTGAAATGAATGAGTAGTTTCAGTCCACCTCCTAACAGACAAGTTTCAACATCATTAAAATTCCTGCCTTAATTGTTATTAATTAGTATCATTATTAGTGGCAAAGGCCCAAATATTGAGTGAATCATTGTGCTTCAGAATTTTCTCACCGCTGGCGGCAGTCCAGTCCCTCAGGTTGTTTCACTTGCAGGGAATAAGAAGGACATTTGCATTAAGTTGTCCATACAATTGCCTGTTGGGTGAATAGAAAACTTTGAGCAAATGCCAGATAAGAAAATCCTGGAAAGCAAACAGCATTACTATTGACATAGGCATAAATCATTTTCTTTTATTGTTAATCTAGTTCTGTTTATTCATTATGCACGCGCGCGCGCACACACACACACACACACACACAATTCTATTCTATTCTAATTGGCTTGGACTTCCTACCAATAGGAAACCATTATAAAGGAGAGAGTAAAATTTTAACTAAAAATGTTCTTCTATGTGAAGGGGCTTGCATACATTTTAATGGCACTAGGAACAGAGCAGAATGGAAAATGCTCTTGTTCTATAGCAGGCAAATGTTTGTTTTTTCTTGTTAGAAGAGTCATCTGTGTATTGCATTGGTACATCATGGTGCATTGAAGGTAAACAGGCTAGGGGAGTAGCTAAAGGTGAAGAGGGAGAGGAATCTATGCTGGTTCCGAAATTGCCCTAGAGTTAAACCTACTCACTAGAACAGGGGTTGTCAACCTGGGGTATGCATATCCCTGGGGGTATTTGGAAAGGTGGTAGAACAAAGCATCACCACCCACCACCCTGTGCCACCACCTCCCAGGAGCAGGGCCCATGGGGGTGAGGGCAGCGGGTCCCCTCTGTGGGCCACACAGGCACTGGCCAGCTGGGGGGAGGGGGAAGGTGGGGGAGTTCACATGAGGCAGCCACCCTGTGCTGCCGCTGCCATGTGTCGCACATGCAGCTCCGTGGGCTTCTGACAGGCAGCACACGATTGTCTGGGTGCGAGGCCCATCAGCAGCCTGCGGAGCTGCACGTGCAATCAGCTGTGCGACTGCCACCTCCACCCACCGCCCTGTGCCACCGCATGCAAGCCTCCTCCTCCCTGCTCTCTATGTCCAGCCGCCACCCCCCCCTCCACATCCAGCCAAAAGGGATACACTCCTTTAAAAAGGTTGAAAACCCCTGCACTAGAACAAGCCAAACATTTGTTCCAACGATTTGCCCAATGGATTTGTAACTTTTAACCCTAGCAATGTTCTTCTTTTATGGAGGCAAAGATTCCTTAGGGGGTGATATATTTTATTGGATCAACTTTGTAGTAGAGTTAGGCAAGCTTTCAAATGCAAGACATTCTTTATCAAGTCCTCTGTAGCAGAGTTAGACAAGCATTTTAAAGCGTGTCTAACTCTGCTACACAGTTGTTCCAATAAAAGATACCACCTTAAGAAATCCTTGCTTTTTGCATAATTTTCTGGACCATCATAGCTACAACATCACTCTTACACTTCTTTTACAGATCACATTCCAGGTCAAACGATTAAAGAAACCAAAATCAGAAAGCGTGGATCTTCAGGAGCCCACGGGGAGAAATGGAGAAGAAGAGGTTAATGGGGAAAATGAAAACCTTTATGAAACTGCACTGGAAATCAGTGGCCCCAAAATACCCTCCCCAGGACCACCAGGTAAATTGCTGTTTTTAAGAAAAGCCAGTCTTTCACTGATCCTAATTCCATGCATTTATATTTCAAAAGTATGATAATGAAAGATTATACGGAGACCACTTACGCAGAGGAGAAAATATGCATGATTATAATTCTGTCATATAAACACTCTCTTAGGAGCACCTATGCAGTAGAACTTTATTTTGCATAACATTTTTCACCTCAGCTGTTTCCTAAAACTGAAAAATAATAGTGGAGACAAATTAAGAGAAGAGATAAGGAGGGAAAGATGCATTTTGGGTGATAGCTTAATGAGGAAGTAAAGTAGTATTTTTACTGCTGTTTGCCCAGTTCCTTCCAGGTTGATCTGGTAACCTAGGAGGCTGTTTCACACTTTGAAGGTTTTAATGTGCATCTTTTAACAAGCTCCCATTCTGGCAAGTGAAAAAAATCAACTTGTTAAATTAAATATTTAAACAGTGAAGATTATTTGATGCCAAGCTATATATTAAAACTGGATCTTGATCTGTGAACTTCTATTTCCTCAGACTACTGGCCTTATAAATTCTCTCTCTCCATCCCTCTCTCTTCCCGTCCCACCTCCACCCTCTTTTATACAGCCCTATTGCTTTTGTATCTGAGTGTCTCCCAATCTTAAAGACCACAAGACCACTCAGAGAAAGGGAAATGCAATTATCTCCATTTTACAGATAGGGACTATAGGCACAGAGACGCAAAAGGCCAGAATCACAAAGGTCACTAGACATCTAACTCCTTGTCAGGTCATACAGGGTGTTTCTGGTGGAGCAAGGAAATCTAGCTTTCCTGTGCCTCAGACTGGTTTCTTTACTAGCCGACCATCCTTCTCACTATATATCATTCTTTCCTACTACCACCAAGGGCTCAGAAATAAACCGACTAAATTAGGAGTGGTGAAATATATTGCGTAGTATTTATGCAATGAGAGATGATCAAACCCACATGAATTTTCCCCATGACATAGTGCACAGTTTCTCTAAGAATTAGGATTATAGATTTATTTTAATTTTGCAAAATTATAATCTATGCCTGTGAGTACCAGCATCTCAATGCCTTCATGCTACATTGCTCCCAAGTAGCTGTTTTTGTGACAGTAACAGTAGGGAAAATGTTCCCAATGGAAATGTTGATGGTAAGTGGCTGTTGCTCTTGCCTGGTGTCGCTGGAAATGGGTGCTAACTATACTGGAAAAGTACTTTTATAATGCAGTGGGTTAGTGGGTTTCAGGATTTGGCTTCAAGTGACAGGAAATCAGAGAAATAGACTGAAATGCTGCCTTAAGTTCCTTGCGAACTCTCTTTTTTTTTTCTATATATCAGTATGTATTAGACTTTTGGGTGGTTAAACATGGCTTTTCAGTGAGCTACTTAGTGGCTAAATTTTTTTTTTTTCCATACTGCTCTTGATTTGAAATTGTTATGAAAGAGGAAGTTTGCCCAGGTGTTAAAATGAGGTACATGGAATGCTAGGACATAAGCTAAAGTCTGCTTCAGGTAATAGGAAAGTTTTGGTGGTTTTTAGATAGGGTGACTATACATTCTGGTTTGGTCGAGACAGTACAGGATTTTGTAGCCTGGTCCTGGCTGGTTGGTCAAAAGTCCCGAGCCAGAATCTAGCGGGGAGGCAGAGCAGCTTGGTGCTCCAGGCAGGCACTGCTGCCCTTGTGCAAGAGCAAGATGAGTAGACTGAAACAGGCACTACCCCACCCACACATGGCATGTCCTTCCTCTCACATAGGAGCAACAGTGTCTGCCCAGTTGCCTGCCTGGCATACCATGCTGCTCCGCCTCCCGCCGGATTCTTGCCCGGGGCTTTTGACCAACTGGCCAGGACTGGGCTATGGATCCTGGACTGTCCTGGCCCAATTGGGATGTATGGTCACCCTAATTTTAGATCAGGCCCTAGAATAAAACCCTTATTCTGCCACAAATATGCTTTGTACCCTCTGCCAAATGCCCATACTTAACCTCTTGTTGCCTCAGTTTACTTATCTACAAAATGAGAAGAATAACGTATGTCAATATAGTGGGGACTTCTGAAATGTAATTGCTTAATGGTTTCGTAAGAGCTTTTAGATTCAGGAATACAATGCTGTAGAAGTTATTATCCATCATGAGCAACATGAATATTATTACTTGAAAAAATTAATATATTCTTTCGTATCCCGGAACAACAAAAACAGAAGCTGTGATAATTAGATTATTTGCATTGGTTCTGAGTGTAGGTGCAGAACTAGGAAGCTACAGTGACTCATTCATAATATTTTCTGTTTAATTAATTAACTCAAAGCAATGTAAGTGCAGCATAGTCAAGTCAGTCCCAAGGCCACTATGACCTTTGGGGCACCTTAGATGCTGTAACAACCCTCTTCCACTCCTCATGAAGTTAGTTGAGTTGCTTTGCATCATTGGTGATTCTTTGGGCAAAGTGACCTGGTGGGTCTCATCTCCTCTCCAGATACAAGTGTAGCACATAAGCTAGTTTAAAAAAAAATGTAAGTGGCAACGTGTTAGTTTGTAAAGACAAGACCTGTTGTTCCTGAGCTACAAATGTGGAAAGGCCTTACTGAACACAAAGTTTTAAAATCCTTCCTCACCACTCGTCATATAATTAGGCTTGCCTAGCAACTGGATTCTTGTGAGCAGACTGCTGGATTTCTGCAGATTCAGGGCTCTTCCCAGGGTGATCCCATTGCAGACTTGGGATCCTAGATTGATTCAAGGAGCGTGTGTCCACATGCATAAAATGCTTTTAAAATCCCTTGAACTTTAAAAATGGATCTTTTTTACCCTGTTACATGAAGGCTGTTTCCTGTAATGCCTGCTTCTTTCTAGGAAAACAGCGTGATTATCGCAGCCTTGGCTGGCCAAGTCCTGATGAGTGTTTGAAACTCCGCAGGGTAGAACTCACTACTGTTGCCAGCACATGGTTAGCTGTTTCTGCTAAAAGTATCGAGTAAGTATCATGCTTGTGAACCTACAGCAAGTCATCAGCTGCACAAAGCAGGGCAGTTGTATGCATGTGTGTCAAACATTTTAGTAGCCTACTAAAGCAAACAGCAATTTCCAAGTTTGATACCAGTGGTTCATACTCTGTCCAGAAGAATGAGCCTTTAGTATGGAGCCCTTTGACCAAGATCAGCAGCAGAGCTGAGAACAGTGACAGCCCCTTTGCTCTTTGATTTGACTGTGTCACCAGCGGTGATACATAGCTGCAGATGAAGGGGCAACGACAGATGATTGTTTTGGACAATCACACAACAGGAATGAGCAGGGCAGCTTTTTTTTCATCTGCACTTGGCAAGGAGTTTGTCTTGGATACAAACCATTTTGCTGTTATCGCTGACTTGGTCTACTTAAGGTTAGAGTGCTAGACAGCACTCTTCCTTTAAATTTATTCTGCTTATTGAACGTTGCAACTTGTGACTGCAACATCAGCTCTCCCAAATGCTGGGGGTACTTTTTGCTGTTGCTCTTGGATATCTGGGACTAGTTTGTCTTGGAGACCTCCAGGGAAAATAGAAAAGATGTTGCCAGCAAATCATTCTCTGTCAGGGCCCTTTGCCTCTAAAGCTTGCTGCCCATCATGGTCTGAATCCATTGATCTGCAGGATATGTTGCAAAAATCACCCTTGCTAAAATGAATATATTTTGTTGGTTTGAATTTACTTTGATTATGTTTTGTCCTGCCATGGGGTAGCTTTTATTTCTGAGGGGTGTTGCTTAAATAAACAAAAAAAATCCCAAGAATAGAACATCTCCCTTTTCCTTATCTTATTACTTTCTAGTTTATTCTATAACATTTTGAGGTACCTGTAGAATTTCTTCCCTGTAGCAAGGAATATAAAATCTACCAGGTGGTGGACAAAAGGAGAAGAGAAATTTCTTCTAACTGGCCATGCTTACTAGAAAAGCTGTATTTATAAATTGGCTCTTCCCTCTCTTTCTCACGATGATTTAGGGGTCCTGCCTCTAACCTAGAATTTGTTTTCCTTCCCTTCTAGTATTACAGACCATATAGATTTTACCACACAGCTGCAAGAACCGGCTATGGAGCCTCTTTGCAACCCCAATCTACCTGTCAGTATGCATACCTTGGACCATCTACAAGGGGTCTCAAATCGGGCTAGCCTGCATTACACTGGAGAAAGTCAGCTGAAAGAGGTACACTCTTCCTTATAGGCTGTCTCAGATTATGTGAGATGAACAGACATGCAAATATCTATGGAAAGGCTAGAATGGGTCCGAAGATACAAAAAAGGCTAAGAAACCTTTCCTATCTCATTTACTGTTTCTGATTAGCAATGAATGACCAGACTGGTTACCAGACTGGCTTTTGATTCCTAGTGCAGTGGAGAACCAACCTTTTTGACAGGTGTGACACAAATGAAACCAGGGTGGGCAATTATTTTTGGCGGAGGGCTGTTTACTGAGTTTTGGCAAGCCATTGTGGGCCGTATAACAGGCAGCTGGTGGCAGATTAATATTTATTTTCTAAATTTTTTATGGGCTCCGCAGGCCGGATAGAATGGCCTGGTGGGCCCCATCCAGCCCGCAGGCTGCATTTTGCCCACCCCTGGATTAAGCCCTTTACCCTCCCCAAGTGCCATCTGCTTTCCTTGCCTAATCTGCTGCTCTGCTTTCTGCTTCCTGCCCTATCTGCCATTGTATTCCCTGCTCTGTCCCTGATCTGTCATGTGCCACACACATGTGGCATGTGTGTCATAGGTTGGCCACCCTTGTCCTAGTAGACCCAAGTCTATAATTATCTATATTTATTAATAGCTCTCTTGTTGACTGTCAAAACAAAGGTCCAAATATTTAATGAGGCTCAGAAACCAAACTGCTTCCTGAAGGAAGTCACTCTGTTGGAGGTGAAACCTGTTTGATTGCACTTGCTCTGTGGATAAACAGAGTCCAGGGCTGTCGCTCTATTATCTTTCACCAGCAATGAACACTGAAAGATAAATTTACAATACAAGTCAAGCCCTTCACAGGATGCTGAATGCATCTCTTCCCTGTTTTCCTCCTGTATCAGGCCTGTACTTCAGTGGTGCTGTTTTCACTACTAGCTATCACACTGCTGCATTTTCAGTGGACCCACAGCTCCCCAAATATCCTGGCAGCACAAAGCGTATTTGAGGGAGAAAATTCAATTTTAGGATGCCATATAGTTGTCTTAATTTTGTTTTTTCGATTTCCATCCTCTAAGCACCTGCCTTTTTCTCCTCCCCAGGTATTACAGAATCTTGGCAAAGACCAGTATTCTCCACAGTCATTAGAACAAGTCGGCACTCGAATAGCCAAAGCTTTGGAAAAGGTACGTGGGCAGGATAAACAGAAACGCATCCAGCAATTATCATTTTTCTATGTGGCTTGACCAACAGTACAGTTTCAGGGCTGTTGACTTAAAAATACAAGCTAGGACCATGTCAAAAAGACTTCTGTCTCTAAGCAAAATCCTTTGCAGGTCTTCTATGACCCACATCTTTTTGCACTTATACAGAGTGAGGTTTATCTACCAGATCTCTCAAATATCTCGTTAATGAAACAAACACTTGTAAAAATTTGAGGTATCCCTGAGTTATGGCATCGCTTTTTTAATGGGCAACATTGGCTTCTAGTGATGATAGCACGTCATGTACTCTCCTGCCTCCAAAAAATGTAGTCTTATGGTACCCTGCAAAGTAAGAGCATTCCCATTGTGCCCATTTTAAAGTTAAAGAAGTTAAGATGTCAGAGATGAAGGACCATTTTTTTTGCTGACACACTTAAAACCTGCCGGTGAAGTCAGGTTTCATTTTCACCTGCAAAAATGAGCCAAGAATTTGGCCTGAATGACTAGTAGTAGGCCTCTCTACTAGACTGTAGCTGCAGTAGGACTAGAATCATAGGATTAGAAGGGATCCCCAGGGTTATCTGATCTACAGGTGGCCAACCTGCAGCACCGGTGCCACAAGTGGTATGGGCAACTCTGTGTGGCACGCAGCATACTGGGGAGGGAGCAGGGAGTACAGCAGCAGATAGGGCAGGGAGCAGAAAGCAAAGTAGCAAATCAGATGGAGAGCACAGGGAAGGAAACAGGAAATAGAGGAGATCAAGGAAGGAGACAGGGCTGGAAGCCAAAAGCAGCAGATCAGACAGGGATAGGGGATCTGAGAGGCATTTGAGGAGGGTGCAGAGCTGATTTGTGGCATGTCTGCCAAAAAGGTTGGCCCCCACTGATCTGGTCCAACTGCCAAAAGAGCAGCCTTTTTCCCTATCAGGGAATGAAACCTATCTCCCATGTGATGAGCAGGGATATTCCCCAATATACTGATAAGGATAGAGAATGCCATTTTCCCATCTCTAGGTTTTTTATTCCTTGAGCACAATTACAATTCCAAAAACACAAGACTACTATTTAACTATTTTTGTGTGCATATGTGTATGCATTCATTGTACTTTTAGCACTTCTTTTTAATCTCCTACTATTTGCTCCATTAATATCACCCTCCACTTTTACATAGCACCTGTGATGTGGTGCTCTGCATCAAACAACTCATTGGAAACAGTAATACATTTCAGCCAACTTCTGGGTTCTTTTTAAATGTTCAGATAACATCACCGAGGAATTTCCTAATTTTTCAGGGACCTAATTTTGCAACGTAAATGATTTGACCTTAGGGTTTTCATTTCTTGGCTATGACATTTTAAATAAAGAATATCTCTGACTGTCTTTTGTAACAGTTCCTCATTTCATTTCTAAATGATAGCCATTCTTTCTGGATATGTGGGGAATATGAAAGGAAAGTGTAGGTGGGGAGACTTTCTCACTGCAGGTTTGGGAAATTTGTTTTCCTTACTCCATTGCTTTTTCCAGAATCAGACCTCTTGGGTCCTTTCCAGCATGGCAGCTCTTTACTGGAGGGTGAAAGGCCAAGGAAAGAAGGCAATTGACTGCCTGCGGCAGGCCTTGAACTATGCGCCATATCACATGAAGGTGCGTGCAACACTGCTCTCTACTGACATCTCTTCCCTCTTGTGACTAAGAGGGAGCTGGAACTTAAATTGTTTGTCATCAATCCCAGCCTATATACATGCTAAGTGCACTAATGTAGGATATTAACCAGTCCCCTAGTGAAGGTCTTAAGGTTATCACCCATCTCTTTAATATAAGTTGTATTCTTAAATGTGAGCAGAAGTTAACTGTCTTCTCTGACCTCAGATTGGTAGGAGATCCTCCTTCAGGACAGTGACTGCCTCCTAGCAAAAGACAAGCATGCTGTTAAAACACAAGTGAATTCCTTGACCAAGCTCCCTATTTCCTAAATCTACATATTACACTGGAAAGGAATGTGTTATTTCTAAAACCCAGGGATTGTTAATATGCTCCAACAATAAACTCCTGGGGATGGTTAGCCTCATCTTACAGCTATGGAAACTGATACGTAGAGCAAACTGATTTGCGCAAGACTGTGCAGTGAGCCCATAGCGAAGCTGGGTTTAGAATTGCAGAGGAAAGGAAGGAGAAGGGCTTTATAATTAAAGCATGGGTCTGGACTCATGAAGTCTGAGTCCTCTTCCCAGCTCTGTGACAGAGTTCTTGCACCTACCACTCAATTGTTCTGTGCCTCACTTCCCCATTGTGGGGCTTTTTTAGATAAATTTACCTATCACACTGGAAAAATCTTGGTTACTTCGGTCACTAAGGGTTTGTTAATATACTTTAACTAGGGACCTCCTGAATTCGAGGGGGCTGCCCCCAATTTCATGGGTAGACCATGGGGCCAGAGAGCCATTTCTCAGGCAGAGTGCAGCAGGCCCCCCATACCTCTGATTGGCCAAGGGGCCCCATCCCTCACTGCTGATTGGCTGTGAGGGCTGTCTGTCATGCAGTCCTTCCTTTCACTGCCAACTGGAGAGGGACAGGGCCATATGACAGGCAGCCCTTGCAGCTAGTCAGTGGCGATGCACGGGGGCAGCAGCCATCTTGCCGCCAGCCCGTCAAGCAGGCAGCCCCCTCCACCACTTCCCCAGCCCAGTGGGCTGCTGCAGCGCCCTCAGGACTGCTGGCTCCCTCTGAGAAGCCAGCATTTATTCGCTATAAATTTGTTTGTTTTTTCCATGGATATTGCAGGCATTGCCCACAAAATCGTGAATTTGCTAGGCCCCTAGCTCTAACATATTACAGCAGAAGGTGGCAGCATTTTGAAGCAGGGGACATTCTAACAGAGCTTAGCTCTGGGCATGAACCACTTCCAACCTAGCCTACACCAAAAGAGCTGGAACTGGAGCTGCAGTCATGGCGTCCCTGCAACATCGCTGCTGCCTCTTGTCTCTGCCACACAGCCTAAGCCCCCTGCCGCAGAAATGCCAAAGAAGCTCCTAAACTCCATGGAAGGTATAAAATGGCTCTTTGGGTCAGATCTGGCCTGTGAGTGGCCAGCCCTAGTACAGGGCATAAGGGAGTAAGGTCCATTCCTGTTGCAGAGAGCTGTTGGGAGGATCTCAGAGGTGCTCAGAATTTACGAGGCATTCAGAATATTCTGATATGGACCACATGGGTGAATAGAAAAGTTACTGCATTTCTAGTTCCCAGTCCAAATGCTCTGTGATTGACAGCACTGAATTTGTGTCACTTCTCCTGCTGCAAGTTGATCTTACTTTGCTGTTGGTTCATACAGCAAGACTGGAACCCAGAAAACATACAGGTTCAGCCCCACCACCTCTCTCATTTATTTGCCTACTTCTTTTTATTTAACTGGTTAAGGCTTTCCAGAATGTGCCTTCAGCAGTGTGTCTTGTGGGAGGTAAGAGAGTGACACAATTGGCAGCTTCCAGCATGTTGCCAGCCTAGGAAGAACATAGCCCTGCTGTGCTGCCCACCCGCCAGCAAGCTCACAAAATTGCTTGAGACCAGGCTGCTTTCCAACATCTGGACTTGTCTTCCTCCATGAAGGTGCTACTCTTTCCAGAGAAACATGTGGGCCTTCTCTGTGGAAATCTGGCTTCAGCTTGAACTCTCAATGAAACCTGATTCTGAATAAGCAGCTATTCAATATTTCATCCTATCCTGTGTGGGCTCTGTGCCTTATTCATGGCAAACTATTCAAACCCTCATGTGCACAAATAATTATTAATTTCTTTATGGGCTTTTCTGTGTCACTTATAGTACCTGAGTGCTTCACAAACTTCAGTAACTTTATCTTCACAAAGCCCATTTGAGCCCGAGGGGTATTATCATATTTACTCAAATATAAATGACCCAGAATATAAGAAGACCCCCCTCAAATAATTAGATTGTATGGAAAATTTATAAGTTTATAAATAAGTTTATATATTATAACATATTCCAGGTATAAAATTTAATTATTGGAGGTTTGCCTTGAATTTGTCCCCTTCCCACTGCTATAACAGGGAAAATAAATCTGAGGAGGCTCTCCCCTCCACCCTCCAAGGATCCATGTGCTAGTTAGCACCCCACTCATGACTGAACTTCAGTTGCAACTGCCAGTTCTCAGCCCTTCTGCAAATCAGACAAGGGTCTCAGGTTACATACTCAGAAAATAAGAAACATGCAGTTAGTGACCACCTACAAAGAGGTTGGTTTAAGTGACTTCACCAACATCATGCACACATTCTGTCAGAGGCAGGGATAAGATCCAGATCTCCACAACATCTTTCACTACGTAGCTTAACCATGAGGCTCTGCCTTACCTTAATCTTTTTCTTTCTGCAGTCCTTTGGCACATTCTCCACACACCTTTCAGCTTCTGCAGCAAATGAAGCAGAGGTCCTCTAGACAACAGTCTGCTTCAGCACAGAGTTCTGTTTCATCTCCATGAAGCAGAATCCGTCCTGTGCACTGGCTATGGCAGGCATCTATGGAAAAAATAGCATGTGGATGTATAGTAAAAAAACATGTTGCAATTCGTATAGGGAAGGGGACTGACGTAACGTTTCGTTAACCTGAGTTTGCAACCTTACAGGGCTGTAGGTTGTAGCCGTGTTGGTCTAAGGACATAGGCAGACATGGTTCTTGGGTGAATCTGTTATCTTTTATTAGACCAACTTAAACAGTTGGAAAAATTTTTCTTAGCAAGCTTTCAGGTTTAAAAACCCTCCATCAGGCTGAGGAAGCATCTGCAGTTGGTGTGTGCTCTTCCTGGATGGAATGAATAGTAAAGTTTGCAAAATAGTAATAGTTTGTAACCTTAACATTCCACTAACATAATTTTTGCATGTGTATGTTACAGAGGTTGGATTTATATGGTCTTAGGTTTCAGAATTGTGTAATAAAAGAAGGATAAAATATCCCTCTCAAAGAAGTAATCCAGTAAAACTGACTAGGTGGTGGGGCCTCCTCTGCGGTAGAATTCATTGCAAGCTATCTGATTCAGTCTCAAAGGTAAGCAGTCTGTGCTGCCCCATTCTATTTGTCTCTTTTGCTCTTCTCTTTTCAGGATGTACCACTAATAAGCCTTGCGAACATCTTCCACAATGCAAAGCTTTGGAATGATGCCATTATCGTGGCTCGCATGGCAGTAGAAATAGCCCCACATTTTGTTGTTAATCATTTCACACTGGCAAACGTCTATGTAGCAATGGTGAGTGCTCAGCCACAAAGCTGTACCCCATCTTCCCATTTGGTAAAAGCAACTTTGTTCTCACAACCAGCCTTAGAATCATATGCTTAGAAGTGCAAAAGATGGAAAATGGAGATAGTAAAAACCACAAAGGAAGAAGTACTCCATCAAATACAGTCTTTAGATGAGTCCAAAATCTACACTGACTGTTTAATACTTAGCTAGTATTGTCATTGTCTGGTCTTATAAAGTTATGGGAAAGCCTTTGTTATAACAGTAACAAGCTGCTACTACTTAATCTCCCCTTGAAATGATGTCTCAATGCACAAAATTTGAGGCAAAGAAAAAAAAAGTCCTTGCCCTGGAAAATTTCCAATCTAAAGCTGCAATTGCTATGCCAGAGGACAAATCCCAAGTGTGGTCACAACATTAACAAACAAGTTCATGAGCCCCACAAAAATTCAGTTAGTGACTCGGACCAAAAGTGGTAGGGGTTTCCCGTGTAAAGAAGATTGGGAACTATTGGTCTGAAGACATAAGTGGTACAAGAGTGGATAGTTTGTCTGATAAATTGTGTAAATATTTCTTTTAGCCTATGATTCTGTTTCCTGTTGATTAAAATCAAGTGTGCATCTAATGTGTATTTAAATTATTCAGTTCTCCTTGGACTCATGTTATACATTTTATTCAAAGTGGGGATAAAGCATCAAATGGATAAATGATAGGGCTATGTGACGCTTCAGTTGTTGATTCACTTCGTCAGAGATTTGGCCCAATTTGGCGGCCAAATCTCCAAATCCAAGTGGAATCAGGAGACCCTTTAATCTCTCCGAATCAAATCAGAACCCTCCGAATCGATTTGGAGAAATTCGGAGATATTTGACGATTCGGCCATAGATGTTTTTTCTACATATCTCAAGGTATCAGGTGGCTCGTGAACGCTGAAATGGTGGGGCAGATGGAGCATCCCACATGAGCTTAGGGGGCTCCTCAGCACGCTTGGTGGAGGACCCAGAAGTGGACCGGGAGTACTTCCAGTCCGCTTCTGGGTCTGCCGCAGAGTGCGCAGGGGACCTGTCCCCCAGCTCAGTGATTGGTGCCTCCTGGGTCTGGGAGGGCACCTGGGATCCCCCCACAGCCAATCACTGAGCCAGGTGGGCATGGGGAGTCCCCCATGCGCTTGGCAGCAGACCCAGAAGTGGACTGGAAATACTTCCAGTCCACTTCTGGGTCCATCGCTGAGCACGCAGGGAGCCTCCCTGCGCTCCTGTGGGACGCTCCATGCATCCCACCATCTCAGTGTCCACAAGCCGTGCCTGGTACCTCAAGGTATGTAGAAAAAACATTTAAAGCTGTGTCTATGGCCAAATCGCTGATTCTTCTAATCGGCATCGAATCTTCAGATTCAGATTCGGCCAGATTGAATTGGGGCAGTGATCCAAATCAACAAATCAAATCACTGTCCCCTGAATCAGGACGAATCCAAATTGAATATGGCCCGTTCTGCTTGGGTTGCAAACAGGCTGCAGCTCCTGGACATTTTAAATATGATTTCTAAAATAAATTATTTAAGAACAAATTATTTTTCAGCAAGGCACTGTGCACAGATCACTGACTCTGGGGCACGTGCATCTCAAGAGTTTTGTGTCTTTAGTTTTGTGTCTTAGTCACATCAAGATTTTGGTTTGCAGCTAGAAAGTCTTAAGTCATACAAAGTGGGCTTATTTGGTATTCAGAAAATTGTCCTAGATTCAGAATGGCATTTGCTCTACTCCATCTCAACTGCTGCCAGTGCTGTTCTATAAGCAGGTTTGAAACTGCCCATTTCAAAGCCGCTGTTAAAAGCAAGGTGCTTTCATAACAATGTAACAAACTTTAATGAGGTGAGAGCTGAAAGTTCACACACAAAATTGTCTGTGCTCTTAAATAAGCTTACACAGTGTTTTTAATATTGAAATCAGTGACATCTGGCAAATAGGTAGTGCTGCCCTTCTTATCCGTAGCCATCGTAATCTGAGGGATCATTTGTGAGAATAGTTTGCAAAGCTCTCATACAAAGATGTGTGTTGCTGTTACCTCTTTAAAATGAAGATAGTGCAGTGCCTTCCTTGTACCACCTTCAATATATTCTTCCCTGCCTCCAGAATTTCTCTTTCCCAGACAGCTCTTGTGGGGCAGCAGAACTGACTTTGTACATAGTAGGAATCATTTCCTGGATTTAGATACTCCTTTTGGCTGTGTCCAGTTGAGCATGGTCATGCAGTATATGGTGCTGCAAACACATATGTGGCACCACAAACCACACATTCAGATGTTCTCCATGTTGCAAGGGAGTGCTGCCTCTGCATTTGCTGCTCCGCTTCTATTTTTGTTAACAAACCCACAGAAAAAAAAGTAGAGCAATGTATGCACGGGCAGCATACACCACTAAAGCAGAGCCAGGCCACCTGGAGCTGTGCTGCAGCTGCTGACCAGGCTCCATGAGGCAGAATCACTGCTGCTGCAGGCCGAGGAGGATCCCAGGACCCCAGTTAAGGCTGCTGGGCCCAGCCCAGTGCCGGCCCCAGCCCCGCCTTCCCTACCCAGGGTAACTTGCCACGCACCAAAGTGCACAGCCTGGGCATTCCCAGGGGAGCACCTTGCATTGCTGCTACCTGTCCCCAGGGGAGCAAACATCCACGCTCATGTGGACGCAGCCCTTGAGTGGTACAAGTTAGGTGATACAAAGGAACAGCGGGACAGGGAAGAATTCCTTTCCAATTCCAAGTGCAAATCAAGTTACCTCAGTGCAAATCAGAACAACTCTACCAGCAGGCAGTGCAGTTACTTCAGATTTACACCAGTCTGATTTACAGTGGGCACATCTATATGTGCGCTAATGCACCATAATTATGGTGCATTAAATTACTACGTGTAATACTAACAATGCGTCATAATTGGTGCTACTGTGCAGTAGCATTGGCACACGTCTTATAGGTGATTTTTATGCACGGTAGACCAATTCTACTGTGCATTAGCACAGCTTTTGCCATGATGCAGTAATGCGCAGTGGAATTAATCTACTGCACTTTTAGCATCTCATGTAGTTGTGCCCAGTGTAATCTGACCCAGTGGGCTAAATATCAAAAAGTTAGGGTAGCTCCCAGCACAGCATTAGACGTGTTGATGTATTTGATTCATTAAATTTAACCAGGAAATTGCTTTATAGATTGGAAATGTTGGTTATTTATCAAAGAGAGAAAATGGGAGATGCTGCAAAAACTGCAGAATTGTGGGACATAAAAACTAAAAGGGACATCAAAGTATATTCAAATCACTATAAAAATGCCCTTCCCTATATCACTAACTAGAAATTATTATAACCAAACATGAAAGATGTCCCTGGTTCCTAACCTCACTTGCAACTTACTTACCTGTCAGTCTTCCCATGGGAAACTAATTTGGAGCATTTTCTGAGCAATTCCACAAGAAATGCTCCTTCCTGTTTGAATGATAGAAAAGCCATATTTTTTTGTATTTAAATTGGCCTATGTAACAATTACAAGCAGCACTCTGTATGTTTCAGCTAAGAATTTTAGATTGAATTAAGCTTTGTAACCTAACTGGGATGCAATATCACATGCAAATGGAGACTGAGGCAGAGGGAGGATGTGACTTGAGCAAGGTCACTCATAGTGTCAACAGAAAGTGAGAACCTTGGAATTTAACTCCAAGTGAGGCTCTGGGTATGGACCTTGTGCAAAACATGTTTTTCTTCCAGCACAAAAAGAGAACATATGGCTATTCAAGGGTTTTTTCACGGAAGAAAACTTTGACTACCACAGAGAAAGGAGCCTTTCCAACCAGGAAGATCTCTCTTCTCCCGGTGATCTTGGTGTGTGGAAGGGACACGGAATAATTGAGCTGCCGCTGCCCTCGCATCCTTCTCCAGACGGGTGGCTGTGGTCTGCAGAAGGTGTGGGAAACATTTCCCCAGGGCTGAAGCTCAGCCCTCGTTTGCCCACAGGGGAGAGGGAGCTGCTGCAGGCTGGAATACCTGTATGCTCACCTTTTCATCAGAATTTCTAGTATTGCACATTTGCAGGAAATTTTCAGTGCTAGCAATGAACACCTGTCACTAGCTTATGTCTTCCAGTACTTTACAGGACTTGTTCAAAAGAACAAGATAGAAAATGTCTTTTAAAAAAGTAAACTACAGTGCAGTGCATGTTACCTTCTTTCACCCAAGGTTATCAAAGTGTTTTACAAACACTTCCTGACTAAAGGTCCTATATTTTGAGGTGCTGAGCATGCTCAGTTTCCCACTGTCTCCTCACATTGCAGGATGGGGCCATATGCCATGCAAAATCCATGAAATGTATTTGAAGGAAGTATTAAACCATCACACATTCATTCAGTGGTCCACTGCAGTACTATTCAAAAATTTACAATAGGAAGTGAATAGAATATGTTGCAGTATCTACTTGTTTGAAAGCTGATATTTGCAATCTTCCCATCCTTACAGGAGGAGTTTGAAAAGGCCATGAAATGGTATGAATCAACATTAAAACTCCAGCCTGAGTTTGCACCAGCAAAGAATCGAATCCGCACCATCCAGTGTCATTTACTTATGAAAAAAGAACGACGGTCTCCTTAAAGATCAACATCTTCCTTTTGTTTTTGTTTTTTAATAAGAAAACAAAGTCATCGATTTCTATTCTGCTTTTAATGAAGTGTGCTAAGATAAATCAAGGAGTCAATATCTCTAACAAGACTCTTGGAAAGAAATGGGGTTTGGATCAAGGGGGTTTTGTTTGTTTGTTTGTTTTCAGATATAGGAGCATCTTTGGGAAATAAATACATTTTGCAAACCATGATTTAAAACATGTGTAAATATTGAGCCAAGAAACTTTCACAAGTCCATGACCTGCCCCAGGACCCAAGGACCATTAGGTTTTTTTCTTAATGCTCAAATTGGTAACAGCACTGAAAATAACTTGCTTCATGTTGTAGCATCTAAGTCAATGGAAATGCAAAGCACATCCCTGTGCCAAATAGCAAGAAGCTATAATTAGCTCATCATCCATCAGAAATTTATGCTTTACCAGGTCTTGTCCAGTCCATATTGCAGTGTTACCAGCTCTGAGCTAGTTTTTTGGGGAGAAGGGAACATAATTTAAAACTATTCTTAGTTTAAAAAATGTATTTTAGGAACATCAAGCCTTTTTATACTGTTATTTCTCTTGGAAGATGGGCCTAAAGAATGGTGAGAACAACAGGAGATCATAAGTCTTAAATGGTTTGTATCTTACCTATATGATCAAAAGAAACTAATCAGGTAAAATTAAAATAAGAGGTTTTATATCTGTCTGTGTATGCATAGTCCTCTGCAGACCTGAGTCTGTTTTACTAATACTTTGGTCACTGTATTTCTACCCATCTCAAAATAAGATGCAGGTTTTACACTATCCCTGTCTCTCTTTCTCTCTCTCTCCCTGAGCCTTAACAACTTTCAGCTGCTAAGAAAGAGATAAAGAGAAAGATAATTAACAAATGAGTTAGGTAGAATATTTCCAAATCAATCTTCTCTTTGGTTGGTGAAGGACCTGATTCTGCAGACATCATTGTTGAATCAACAAGGGCACATACTTGGAACAAAATAAAAGTTATGTTTATGAACAAAATAGTAGCCTGTAGTTTAATTTTTCTATGCTGGAAGTAAGACCTAGGAAATCCAAAGTGCAGCCCAAAGCCCCTTGAAAACCAGGAAACTCTTTAATGCTGGGTCAGTCTCTATGATTCTGGAATGGTGACAACCTCTGTGCCTGTTTCGGAGAAGGAAAAATCACAACAATGTCAAAAACACTTGTGTATGACAGTTTTTGGAAAGAACAAATGTCAAGACCACTTGTGAATATTTTGCTTCTCCCTTCCCTTCTCCTTTATTTCCCTTCTTTTTCAATTTGCCACTAAAAATAGTAAAAAGAAAAAAACAAAAAGTGGTGGTTTTCATGAAAAACAAACAATGAAAATGTTTGCATAACATTTTTTCATAAATATCATTTTCAAATAAATTTTGAGCAGACTCAGAAGGGCTATGGGAGTACTAATTAGTCCTTTTTAACCAACTTTGAAGATGGGATATTCATAAATAAGTGCTTACCATTCTCTTATTGCTACAATTTCTGTTAATCTAGAAACTAAGATAAAGACAAGCAAATGCTACAGTTATGCAGGTTTGTTTTTATAAACATAGGTAAACATATATGAATTATGTACCGGCTTCTAATTTACCATACACAACCTATGAGGTCACAAAGTTGGTCACTCCCAAGCTGGAGATTCTTGATGAGAAAGTCTCCATGTAGAGGCAGATTTACAGAAATTGTAATTTCATTGAGATATCTACTCCAAAGTCTTTCTTACACCACTGTCAAATCAAGAGTTGGAAGACTGAACTCCACCAGCCTGTTGCATTATCGTCTAGTTTGGGTTATGTAGCCAATGAATGGGTGCAGTCCAATGGAAAGAAATTTCATGTTTTCTGCTTGGACCAGGAATAATTACAGTAAACTCATTCTTATTTGTACTGGAGCCATAGAGTTGGAAAATCTTTGTACAAAAGCAGCTTTTTTCATCAGCTTCTTTCCTGAATTTACTGTCTGCCATTATAACAAATAACAACTATTGGGAGCTAGGGGCTAGCTAGTATTGTACAAATCCCCCCACTATGCATTGTTCTTAAAAGGAAATATGTTTGCCTCTGGATGGGGGAGGAAGTGGCCTAGCATGTCTTCTGGTCAGCATCATGAGGTCATCACACTGATTCTTTTCTTCATTACTTCTGTCTTTCTGGCTGTTGTCAGTTGCCCAGATTCGTATAAAAGCTAAGGTTAGTCCAGCAGCAATATAAGGAAAGCAGACAACAATCCTTGGTTTCTGTAGAGGACTGAATTAAAATATGAAGGTCTTTATGGACCACCATATACGTTCACATACAGTACGGGTAGGCAGTTTTAAAATAGCATAGTTGATCAGGTGGAAAAGCCATCAAAGCTTACTGCACTATTTCCTCCTAGAATTAGCCATTAAACTATGGCCTAGGCAGATACCTTACAACAGGGTGGAACTTAAACTATCAGCAGTTGAGACTGGGTATGCCTATGTCCACAAACTGGTACTGTGATCAAGACAATACCAGTATTAGGTATGCAGACTTTTTTTGTCTGATGACTTTTTCCAGAGTTCTTCAGACAAGCACCCTATAAATGGTGCATTCAAAAGGTAGAACTCCGATCTTTGAAAGCAGCATGCATCTTGGCTGAGTACCACAAGGAGGCCTCCCCTGCCTTTCTGCCAGACACTGTATATGGACAGCTATCCATTGATTTGTATAATCCATCTTCAGGCACATTTACAATTGCTGCTTAGGGAACAAATTACAAAACAGCTCTAAGCTGTCAACAATAATTTTGAAATGTGGCTTATGCAACCAAATTGAGAACCTGCTGCCCACACAACCCACCTCATAAATGGCCTGGGGAGAGTCCTTATAGTAGTAGTAATAAACTATAGCATTGATAGAGCTTCCCATGAACAGATCACAAAGATGGCGAAACCAAGGCAGAGACAGATTAAATGATTTGCCCGAGGTCATCCAGTAGATCAGTGACTGAGCCAGCAAAAGAACCTGCCCTCTGAATCTTAGGCCAGTGCCCTGTGTACCAGGCAGCACTGCTTCCTTTTCAGGAGGAAGCCAAATGGATGTTTTTCATTCCAAACTCCATGCCCCAAAGCCCTGTGTTACAAAAAGCTTGAGTGTCCCAGTTGTTGTCAGATATAAGGGTGTGTACAGACCACAAAAGTGTGTGTATTTACGTTACAACCAGTACTTTGAATGGGAAACAAGTGCATTGTATACCCCACAAGTGTGATAGGCTTCATGCCAGACTGGCTATTAAGTTGCCAACTTATTTTACACTTATCGACGTTTTCAAATGTATCACTGTAGTAAAACAGTCCAAGACTGACAAAGGTCTGGATTTCTCAGGTAACAGATTACTTGATAATGATAATATAGCAAGATTCCGCAGGTGATAGAAGATGTAGCAGCCATATATTCAGATGCAGTTGGAAAAAAACTCTTTGGTCAATGCTGCCTTCATCTGGAAGCAGCTAATAGTCTGGTTGTGTGCAGGAGTGACCCAAGTTGGGTGGGATCTTCTCAAGGTAGCTCTGCTATTTCCTTATAGTAATGCCAGAGCTGT